CATTTGTCAACAAAACATTCATCCTTTTTGTTTCGCTATTATGACTGGTAGAAATATGCTAACTCTTTGAATAAAACGTTGTTGGTTCCTTAGAACTATGGTCCCATCATTGGTACCAGTCTTAGAACTGGAGGCCACTTTCTTGACACAAGTTTGAGTGACTTGTACAATCAAAGAAGTGAAAACTTCTAAGTTTTCTTCAGAGAGTCAGCATTATATTTCTACCAATCATAATAGCGAAACAAAAAGGATGAATGTTTTATTGACAAATGGATAGAGAAGAGCTGACATTTAACTGCCAACGTTGAATACTTGCTTTTTCCTGATATATTGACTGTTCAAAGTGGTGATCTATTTACAGACAGTTAACGCCCAATGTTAATTTCAGTTTCAAGTGCATACAGCTGAATGCCTGTTTTTAGGCCATGATTTAGCGTAGTATGACGAACAGAAAACAGAGAGTGTTAATAAGCAGTTTTTTAACAATTTACAGCTGATTAAGACCAATTCCGAGGAATATTGACAGGTAGACCAAGTTCCTTGATACCACCGCGATGGGGCTGAAATTTTTAACAGTTTACGGCTGATTAAAGGTTAACTTTTTTGTTATATAGTGAACAGACTATACATCAATTATCAAATGTCAGTTTGGTAGACCAGAGATGCTTTTGGCAGCCTCTGGTAACCTCTTATTTTATCAAGAATAAATTTAACTAAATTGTAAATGTAAGTATGTAAGTAAAAAACTTTCATTGTTTCTCAATCATTTTGACAAAAAATTAGTGTTACCTCAGCTGTAAGTTTTTTAATCCCACCCCCAAAATTAGGAGCGAACATTTGTAAAACTCATAACATATTACATGGTATTGTTATCAATATTTTTTCTGTTATTCAGAGTGAAAGAAATAATTTTTTTAAAGACGATTTGAGTCAAAACGTCGATGTTTATGGATTATTTTATATTGAAAAAGAATGACATTTAAAAAAATTGAATAAGAAAAAATTTTTTTTCAAAATAAATTATAACACAACATATATTTAACAAAAATTTAAATGTATTTTTTAATTGAAATTAAATTCAAAGAAAAATAAAAGAAAACAAGAACTAATATGAAATGTAGAGTATAAATACATGTAGACTAGAAGTTAGAAAACGTAAACTTTTATTGTACAATCTTAACAAAGAAATCGATAAAAACAAGTAGAGCGAAATTAGAATTAACAATGTTGTAATATTCCAACATTGTTAATTAAAATAGTATGTTTTGATTCATATTGTATTATCACATGGCTAACGTCAATCATGTTTCAAAACGAAAAATATATAGTCTGAGAAAGATGATTGATTAACTTACAATGAACAACCTTAAGAAAATTGATATACTGGAAATATAGACACATATATCATTATTATACGAGATTTTTATCTCAAAATTCTTTATCCCAACCAGTTAAATCGTCGTCTGGTATCCCAGAATCATCTTCGGGAAATACATCGAAATTTGATGTGTCTATATCTGTGTTAACCTAAACATGAATTATGTACATTAGAATATAAAATGGGTTAGTTAATTAACTAATTTTCTAAATCAATTTCTATAAACTGATTTGCTCAGTTAACTTCTATTGATTAATCAGAACTGAAACTCATGAGAGTTATGATTGATTCATGAATAAAATAAACTTACTCTAGGTGTAAATGGAGGAGACAACGTTCCTTTCCGCAAACATTCCCAACTAAAACCTTCGAACCATCTAGAAGACACAATAACAATGGGATTAGTGTTTCATGAAAATTGAAGAAGTAGAAAGAGGCTCACTTATGCTTTTGAATGTCTTTAATACCACCCTTCTGATAGCCAATTCGTTCCACTGGATTTTCCCTATATAAACATAATAATTATTTTACGGTCAACGATATCACTCGCTATATCACTTGATGGAAAAAGTATTTCTTACCGACATAACCGTTTGATTAATGAAGCAGCAATTTTCGATATTTTTCGTGGAAATTCTATGGCATCAATGCCTTTGAGTATAATATTATACGTTTTCATTGGATCAGATCCAGTAAATGGGGGACTAAAATATTAGTGTGTGCAATTTTTTCATGAACTCAGGTAATTGATAATTACTGTCATACTTTCCGTTAATGAGTTCAAATATTAATATACCTAAAGACCAACAATCCGAGGCCATGTCATGTCCTTTGTTCAGTATTATTTCGGGTGCCACATATTCTAAAAAGGTATCAACTTTTGTTTTATATTAAAAAGTTATAAAGAAAAGTGACTACCAACCTGGAGTACCACAGAATGTCCACGTTTTTTTGCCAAGACCAACCTTTTTGGCAAATCCAAAGTCAACCTACATAAAACAACACACTTTAATTATATTCTTAACAATTGAGAGCAATTTTTTGAACTATAGATACCACTTAGAAAATATTTTTTTTGGTATGGATACATAGGCTTTGATAATTTGTATGATGCGATGCTTACCATTTTGCAATATCCTTTTTGATCGAGAAGTAAATTTTCTGGTTTTAAGTCACGATAAATCTAAAATAGAATAAGTATTTATAAATAATTTCAACAAGTAATCAATCGTACATACAATTCCTTTACTATGGAGATAACCGAATGCTTCTATCACACATGCACTATAAAATCGAACTTCAGATTCTTCAAATGAGCCTCGATCACGAAGAACAGACCATAGTTCTCCACCCAAACAACTTTCCAACAACATGTACAAATATTTTTTGTCTTTAAATGTCTTGTACAATCTAAAAAAGATGAAAAACTGTTGAGACAATATACGAACATTTAAGTTTCTTAACTACCTGACAATAAAGTCACTTCGAGCATCCATCATGATATTTCGTTCGTTCATAACATGTTCTTGTTGTTTCATTGCCACAATATGTTGTTTTTTCATTTGTTTAAGTCCATATGCTTTTGAATTACGTGTATCACGTACGAATTCAACTCGTCCAAATCCACCAACGCCGAGTGTAGATAATATCTCTAAATCGGCAAGTCGTAAATTTTTCAAATCACGTTCATCTTCACCGCTTATAAATGTAGTACTATAAATAATAGAAAAAAATGATAGAAAATTTCAAGTATTATAAGTGCTCTCACTTTTTTCTGGCATATTTTACTGATTCTCCACGTTTCAATTTTGATATTTCATCAGCCATTAGTTCTTTGTAACTTTGTCGATCTAATACAAGACATGCAACACCATTTACATCATCGGCAGTTACATTGAATGCTCGAGTTTCTTCTCTGAAAGAGAAACAAAACAATTTCCGTAAGTTTTCCAAGTCGAAATCTACAGCATACACCTACTCTTGCAATGCCATTTCACCAAATGAATCTCCACGATCCAAATGTTTGATGAACACAGGGGTATCCCATTTTGATTGAGACTGAGTAATTTGCACTCTTCCTAAATGAAATACGATACATCTTACACAGTTTTTGATCTTTTTCAAGCATGTTCAACATACCTTTACTGACAATATAGAATGTATCACCTTTGGCTCCTTGTCGCACAATACATTCTCCATCTGCATAAGTCACCTTAAATGAGAAAAATACATAAATAAAGTAGACTATTAGAAATACACACAAAAACAAACCTCATCTAAAACATCAGCAATTTTACTCAAAATATCTTCCCTGAGTCCTTCGAAACTTTTGATACTACAATAAAAGACAGATGTATGTACAATTTATTACATGTAAAAAAAATTTTTTATCATACTTTTTCATGAGTTCAAAATGTTCTGATTGTTTTTGTAGACCAGCTCTCATCATGATTGCCTGAAAAGTTTGACGATCGACTGCCCATAATTTGCAGTTTGTTAATGCTAGAACAAAATGCTTGTGTTTATACATTTTAAACTCTTTCACTATCTATAAATGACCCCATGACTCTTCGTGAGTGAATCGTATGAGTTTAAAGAGCATCGAATTTATGCACGATCAATGACTATCGGGAGCATCATTTTAAAACTCTAGTATCAAAATAGTTTTACATTTGTTGAAGTTAGATTTGTTTTAACACTGTAAGAAGAGAAAGAGAACGACGGACAATACGAACCTTTTATGGACGCTGTTCTAGTGCAGTTATACAAAATAGCCAATTCTCCAAACACCCGACCAGGACCCATATTACATAAAATTTTATTTTGTTTGCTTACTTCGACTGTTCCATCTAAAATAAGAATAATATTATGAAAAAAAGTGAAAATGAAATTAAGAAAAGTTATACCTTCCATTATGTAAACAAGGTTGCCGACATCTCCTTCTCGAATAATTAAGCTCTCCATTTTATGTTCCAACGGGTACATGCAATCAACAATCGACATTATCTGATCCATTTCAAGATTTTTCATAAAATCATTGTTCAATATTGCGTCCCTCAGAAACTCTTTTGTCCTGAAACATAAACAAATTATTTTCTAAGATTAAAATATACTGCATTCAAACATTTCTTTTAATTACTGCATTAACTACTGAAAGGAACTCTATAAAACGCTTATCTTTTAATTTTCAGTTTAAATCAAAGAGTAGTACCACTTGGCCCATTCAGTATTGCATGGCATGAAAGGTTCTTAGATCTGATTATGCATTGCATATGACTACCAAAATACAGAAAAGCCTCTACTTTTCCACTATGAAAGTCATGTGAAACAGAGTCACACCAAGATCATAAATTACGAATTTGAACGTTTAAGAAGTACCGATATCGAGCTTCCCTGCGAAAATGCAGAGTTTCTTTTATAACGCTTCATAAATAATTCTGATTTGGTTGTCTTCCTAACTTTGAAAAAAAAATCATTCGTTTTGTAAACCGCATACTTAACTGGAAATCTAGTTAAATTTTATCTTGCCCATCGTCAAATGAAAGCGACTTTTAAAGTATGCCTCCAGCACTTTTTGTTTCTTTTAGATAGTCTTAATCAATTTTGTAAATACGTCTCTTATAGTCATGTGTTCTACTTCAAAGTAAAATAGCACTCAGTACTTACCAACAATTTTTTCATTATCCAAATTATTCATTTGCTGATACTCTCTTGTTCATCACATATTCGGCAGATCACATACAGATAGTTTCATTATTTTTTATTAGTTTTGTTTTTCGGTTACATACAATGCTGCTTTTTACATTTTTCTTGGTCTACGTCAATTAGATGTCTTAAAACTTTGCAAGTGTCGTGAGAAGAACGGTTTCTTCATTCTTTATGGCTGAAAGTAGACGGTTACACTAGTTGAAAAGTTTGACTAAGTCCTGTGAACCAGGCGGCATAATCGAGAAAAGACTCAAAGCGCACGAATTGCGTAAATTTTTTAATGTTTTTTTTAGTCACACAATATATAAACTCCGTTAAAGAAAACAGTTCTCTATACAGACGGTGAGTATTCAAATAAGTCTTTCTCAATTTATCATCTTGAAAAATGAAAAAGAATTTGTCTCGTTTAGAAACAAATCTTCTCGTGTTAGTTAATAGAGCAAAAAAAAAAATAAAAGCAACTCTAAGTTTGAAAATAGCTTAATTCAAAGATTAGATTGAATGTTTTTAGTTAAGCAACATCACTGAACAAAATAATGTGGGAGAAGATCAAAATATCTCTCGACACATGTTACTATTGTTAGAAAAAGTTCCACTATTCACAACTTCTTATGAGTTCATTTTTGAACATGTTATAATTAGACTTACTTTCAAAACAGACATTGATGAAAATAATGATTTGCATATTTAGTTAAGATATCTTTTGAATGTTTATATGCCCATATAAAGAATTATTATCTTATGATCTTTGTGTTCTAACTATCGTCGTACAATAGTAATAATCATTTGTGTTATTTATTATCACTGATTTGTAGACTTCAAAGTTCAAGACCTTTTATCTGCATATGTGTCTATTTCTTTATTATCTTTTATAATTATAATATGTAAGAGACAGGTAATAAACTCACCTATCCGATTTTTCAAATGCTTGTAAAACGACTCTAAGATCTTTGGATTTTTTGTGAGCTGCCGGCTCGGCACTAATGGCCGTTCGTTTCATACGTTTGTGAGATAGTGGTATTTCTGCATCATTCTGTACACGTCCACTTGTAACAAAAACTGGATCATATTTAATTAATTCATTTTCTAAACGTTGTATATAAGAGTCTTTTTCTTTAATTATCGATTCTTTCATCGAAATAACTTCATCTTTTTTACGTATTAAATTTTCTTTATCATCGAGTAAATTTTTTTGTGTATTTATTATATTTTCACGCTCTTCTAATTGTTTCATACTGTCTCTTAACGATATTCTTAAATCACGCATTGATTCCGTCGTCATGTTGTACGATTAGAATCAAATCATTGAATGGTGATGATGCTGGTATAGAAACCTATTATACAAATTTGTTCAGCAATTAACTTTCTGTATATATCGTTCACTAATTTTTTCCATTCTAAGCCATTGTCATTAACAAATGCTTTTACCCAGCTGAGGAACACACATAAACACACAAAAATTGATAATTTTTGAGCTTAATGACCGTGATAGCATAAGATGAAGAAAAACATGTGGAACAAAGATCGCCAATATAATACAGAAAGAAAAGATGCTAATGTTATGGCCTTGGTGGTAGTACAGTATTGTGTTATTGTTGTTGTATAATTTTCTTCTTCTGCATAATTCGTCCGAAAATATAACGAGAGAGTACACATACATATATCATTTCTTGCTCTTCTTTTTGAAGGAAAAAAGAAGTACAAAGGTTTCTTGCTTTAGAGAATCGTCCAATATTGCCATTTTCTCTCTCTAAAAAATATTCTGCCATGTATTTTTCCATTTATTTATCAAAAAAAATTCTCTTTTGTTTCATATCAACACATCTTCTTAACTTACGTCATTGAGAACTATATTGTACACATTCCACATACGTCACAAACAAGAAAAAAAGATGTTGAGTGCTCTGTCTCATTGTATAACGAGCTTTTTCTTTTCTTTTCTTCTCTCTTATTTTGTAACATTTGGATTTTTGATTCTAAATGGAATAATCGAGGTTTCTTTGACATGTATAGTATTGATATAGACAAACGGTTTGACTAAGTGGTTGACATATTCATCAAACTAACTAACTAACTATCGATTAAGGCTATTGTTGAGACGCGGACTATGGTAACAAGAAAAGTAGAATAATAATAACAGCAATGCGACGACATTTAATTTTTATACGTGTAGCAGCAAATATATTTCCACTATTCTGTGTATTTTAATAGTAAAAAAAACAAAAAAAAACAATACACAACCACCTGTTTGTAAAAGAGGAAGAAAAACAACCAATACCATGAGTTTTCAACACTATATAAGAAGAGCGGCGATTTTCAAATTCGGAAACCCTGTTAATTACTAATTTTAGCAATATAGTACAATCTGAATCGTGAATGAGTGAAAGATGCAAGATAGATGACAAAAACGCCAATCATCCTGAAGTTATATAACTCATCTACTATATAAGACTATTAAGTTTAGTACAAAATTTTTGTATTTTTCTCATTTTAAAATAAAGGATCAAATATTTATGATATCACGATCTTGTTGAAAAATTTTCAGAAAAAACGATTTAACTGCCTTGATCTGAACCATACAAAGTTTTTTTAAGGTTACTAATACAAATGTAGAATAAAGATTTGGTTCACATTTTCTCTCAAAACAAATTTAGCAGAAAACGGATAGAATATAAACAGTCATATACAGAAAACTAGTCTATGTGCTTCGCCATAACGAGAATAAAACGGGAAATACAACAAATCGTATGACTGAAATCGTATACTTGAAAGATTAAATATTGTATTGCTGAAAAGTCTAAAATGCATACAGTTGAATCCTGTTTATCTTTGCTTTGCGTACATTTTGACTTTAGGTGTGATTATGAATTATGAGTAGAAATATGAAAAAGAATACCGATGACATTCTTTCTGTGTCTCTTTCTCTTTTTTCGATTATTTATACACTAGACAAAATTATTATATTCTTGTCATTATTATCAATTTGTGTATATGAAAATAGTAAACAAGAGACAGAAAACATCGAAATTCTACTATATTATCATTACCGCCTCGAATTTATTCTACCATATCTGATACTAGAGCTTTCCCAACAGTTTTATTAACAGAATATCTAATATTACATCAAATATTTTATCGGCGCAAACATACATACGTACACACGGATGTAGAGAAAAAATGCGCATATTTAGGTATGGAGTATCAATCTGTACAGCTTAAGTATACTGATAATTTTCTAAATTTATTGTATAAAAGCATCCTGTTTTATTATTCTTTACCGACGTCATCAAAACATCATAGTTAACATACGATCGATATTGTCAACCAAGGTTATTCTTAACACCTTAGATGGACAATTCTTGTTAAGTTGCCACATAATGAATATAAACACATCATACCATAATATTGATTTCAACTACAAAAGACACTAACGAATCTTCATACTCATCAATTTAGCGGAATTTACATATTTTCAAGATACATTGATAGTTGTTATTTATAAAGATACGATTAGTAAGAATTTATTCTAATTAAAAAATACTGATGAAAAGAGAATATCTAGACTTTTTTACGATTCCTGCATAACTTTGGCACAAGGTTGTTTAGAATTAATGATTTTATACAATAGATTCTTACACCTACGTAGCTTACACAGTAAAGTAGTTTTTCTTACAAAAATTTTCGGGAACAGTTTGACGCTAGTTCCACTAAAATCAAATATTCCTTGGTTGATAAACTGTTGAAGTTTTTGCTTGAATATGTAATTCATAGTATCTACACTTATTATGCGCAGGAAAAATTACACGTTGTTGCAATAAAGTTTGCAAACTTTTAATCATCTTACCATTGTGTTTTGGGCCATACTACTCTTGGTGTGTACAATACTGGTTCTGCGGAAACGCCTGGTGTACGATCTCGATGGTGTGAAAAGCTTGCAGGTTTCGAAAATGGAAATATCGATCGATACTTGTCTAGCTGACTTGTTAATTCAGTGATAATGCGTTCCTTTTCTTCCAGTTGCAATTCTAAATCCATAATTCGTTCATCTTTTTCTAGTAAAATATTTTGTCCAGCACCGTAACCGCTGTAAAATATTTTAAGTACATTATTTAAAGCCATTTTTACATTATTGATCAGAAAAAATAATCCGTTTATCAAGCTAATCCGTACTGTTCATAACTAAGACAAACAATCTAACAAAGCTGCCGCAACAAATCGTTACGACTAGGTCAATGCGTTTTCAAGATGGTTATTTTTGAATTATGCTTCCGTGTTGTTTGTTTTTTTTGTTGTCATTCTATTAGCTATTTAGTGTTAACCTTTTCTACAAATCATCCCTTTATTGCTTTTTAATAATGAATATACAAAGATCTAATACATGTTTAAGAGAATATTCCGGTCGGCCGGTCGTTATTCCGCTCTTCTTTTATTCCGGTACTATTCCGACACTATTCCGTTCGTTCTGTAGAGCTGTGATACAACATAATTTAGAACTGTTTTATATATAACTGCCTTGTTTTGTAATTGCATAAACCCTAGTCATCGGTTCTTATAAAAGAACTAGACACGAAACTTGTGACAGGCATGTAAGCATCTTAGAAACACTAGCTAAGAATCTTACTCAATTCTTATATCAGATCGTCTATGAAAGTGACAAGAATTCCGCTGAATCTTCTAAGATTCTTCTAAGATTCACATAGGCTTTCATAAGAAATTGGTAAAAATCGACTGGACACTTGGACGACTCCCCTACAAAAACAATTTCAATGCAGCATTGGAAAAAGGTCGACACTGCACACGGCATGCCATATTGCACTAGCTCGTCACTGACGCGCACTAGTGCCACATTTTTCCAGTCACCGTTTTTTTTAGCCACGCTAGTCAGGCACTCAACCTTGACGCACGAACGTCAGCAATGAAAAACGTTGCAAAATCGAAAACGACGTGAGCGTCAGAAACGAGTAGTAACGGCGGCAAAAATGATGGCGATGGACCAGGACCAAAACGAACATCAGCAATCCGCTCCATCGCTTTTAGACGAAGATGGCAATGCTAATGATGTTGTACTACCGAAACATGTAGTGGAACTCATCCGGGTGGATGAGACATTCGACATAGAGAACTTGGCAGACGATATGGAACGTCTCGGTGGAAACGAACAACCACAGCAGCAGGACAAAAGCAGCAATTAAAAATTGCGTACCGTCTATGCCTGCGGTCTGTGCGGACATGCAGATGCAGTTAAGACAGCCACTTTTTTATGGCACCACGAACAATATTCTAAACAAGCAATATATATATATATATATATACTTATATATAAAATACAAAAAGTAGTTGAAGCGTTTTTTATACAAAAAACATTCAACCGTATAAATTAAAGTTTTAAGTTGGGTTCAAGGAGTCTTAAGCCTAGGCGCTTGTTCTCGTATCCCTCTCTATCTCTGCTAATAGCAGCCAGAAACGCGTCTAGCAACAGTTTCTGTTTGTTATTCACCAAGTGTCATTTTAGTATTTTTATTTCTACACCAACGAATGAAAACAAAGCCGACAGTTTTCTAGAGAATTAAATTCTCTGTCTTTCGAGCTAAATATTAAATTTTTAAACGCAAGATAATATGGAGAAAAATTTAATAGAAAAGTGTTCCCGGACTTCTGGCTCATCCTATATACACCCAAAGACATATTTCGAACTGTTTGTACCCAGGTCAAAAAATCAGATCACGCGATCTTATAAAATCTTACGGAAAAGCATAGAAACGGATTCATCTTATAAAGTCTTATAAAAATCATACAAGAATCTTACGAAATCTTACTATAAGATCTTACATCAAGAATCAGTTTGTATGTTTCTTACAGAATCTTACAAAGTCTTATACGAACCTTACGAAATCAGACGGAATCGTACAAGAATCTTATAAGATCTTACAGCAAGATTCTTTGACCTACGTATACGTCACGTGTGTATTCTATATAACAACCCAGGTCAAAGAATCTTGCTGTAAGTATTTATAAGATTCTGTAAGAAACATAGAAACTGATTCTTGATGTAAGATCATATAGTAAGATTTCATAAGATTCTTGTATGATTTTTATAAGATGAATCCGTTTCTATGATTTTCCGTAAGATTTTATAAGATCGTGTAAGATCTCGATCTGATTTTTTGACCTGGTTTGTTATATAGCATACACGCGTGACGTATATATACGTCATCCTAGGTCAACAAATCAGATCAAGATCTTACACCATCGTATAAAATCTTACGGAAAATCATAGAAATGGATTCATCTTATAAAAGTCATACAAGAATCTTACGAAGTTTGATGAAATCTTACTATAAGATCTTACACCAAGAATCAGTTTCTATGCTTCTTACAGAATCTTACTAATTCTTGTAAGAATCTTACGAAATCAGACGGAATCGTACAAAGATCTTATAGGATTTTAAAGTAAGATTCTTTAACCTGGGAATGTTTTCAAAAAAAGAAAGAATGACCATCCCAGGTCAAAGAATCGTACTAAGATCGTATCTGAATCAGGCAAAATCGTACCAAATCGTATGAAAATCATATATGAATCGTGGTATCTGATTTGTTCTCTGGATCGTATAATACGATCGTACAAGATCATATACGATCATACAACTTCGTATGAAATCGTACAGTACGAACCAGACGACAAATCAGGTATCACGATTCGTATGTAGATCGTACATAATCGTATATGATTTTGTACGATTCGTATACGATCTTGTGCGATCGGATAGTACGATTCAATCACCTGGGGTCTCAGGTCAAACAATCCTATCATAGGATCCTACAAGATTCTTACAAGATTTTACAAGATCCTACGTAGGATCCTACCAAATCCACATAGGATCTTGCAGGAAAGACGTAAGACTACTTTGTCTTGGATTTATCCTATACTTTCCTGTCGTAGGATCCAATTAGATCCTACGAAAGGCCTTATCGGATCTTACGTAGGATTTCATAGGAATCCTGGCATATCTGAAACCAAAATATTCAATCTTAAATCAGCTGTTTATTTACTGCTAGCTTTATTTATTTATTTTTTCTCTTTTGGGTTCTTTCCTAGTCTCTGAATCAGGACTGGGATGAACCCAAGAACAGTGAGTGAGCTTCCATGTTGATGTTCATACTGTTCAATGTGAAAAATTGAGCTTATTCAACTCGACTTTTTATTTTTTTCAGCGTCCTATTTATAACTGTTTCTCTGACAAACAAAATGGTGAATAGAAAAGACGACAGAACAGAGAAAAATAAGAATCGTATGAAATCCTATCGTAGGATTTCATAGAATTTTATAGGAATCCTATAATAAGAATCTTAGTAGGATTTTCGTTCCGATCCTATGGTAAGATTCATATTAGATTTTATGATAGGATTTTTGTAGGAAATTCATAAGATTCCTATAGGAATCCTATGATATCCTATCATCTACCTGTAAGATCCCATAGGATCTTGTAGAATCCTACATAGGATTCATTGAGCTGGGGCATATACGTACTTCATTTTTCCTTAACGTATTGTAGAGATCACTTCTCTTCATTCTTTTACATTTTAACTTTTTGATCTCTTTTTAATTAAATTATTCCAAAAAATTCCAGTATTTTACAGGGTACGTACACAGCAATTTTCCAGAGAGAGAGAATGAGTTAAAAGAGATAAGTCATTTCTAGTTCCCCACAGGCACAAGTGAAAATGGATTGCCATTCTGAAAGAAAAGAAATTTTTTCGACTTTGGTCTAAACCTTGTTCCACAGACGGCTAAGCTCAGCTTCTAAAAAACGGAATAGCATTCCAGAATAGACATATTCTGGCATGGATAGATTTGCGTTGTAGTGCTTTTCCCTCCACGTATCTCCAGGCTCAGCGAAAGTGATTGTGTTAATTCTCAAAATAAAAATGCACAGAAGCGAGAAAATGTACCCACAGGTTGACATCTTCGCGAATGTAAGCGTCCTCGCTTCATCTTCAGTGACTTTCGGAATGTAGCAAAGATCAGTTTAGTTTTGTTTGAGGCATAGAGGATTGGATACCAAACTCTACCGCCTCACTCGCACAATGCTAGGTTGGCTCTGCAACTTAACTGATCGAACGTCAATATCCACGGATAGACATTCTTTGAAAGTCCAAGCGTGCATGTTCAATGCTTCACATACGGCAAACGTACCCTTATCGGTAAAACTCACAAGTGAATGGACCAAAAAAAATCAGCCTTTATCACTTTTATTTTGATATCAAACTGCAGTCAAATATTGATCCAGAACTGAGAAATACAGAAGAAAGAACTTAATTGATCACCCTATAAAAAAAATTTCGGTGCGCACCGGTGTGCATGGTATGCCATCGGTCACACTGGCACTGGCTGGCACCGGTATGCACCCGTGCCCAGCAAGTGCCGAATGGCACCCGTGCGCATCGGTGCCGATATATTTCTGCCCAAAAAGTGCCGCACTGGTAAAAAACAGTGCCGCATGGGTGCCGCACTGAAATTTATTTAATCAATTTAATTAGTTTTTTATTATAGCTGTTTATGCTGAATTTTGTATTACTGATCAGTACCATACCACCTTGACATTCCAAAACCATGCGACATTGCCTCGGCACTTCTCTTATGAGAAGGATGAAGTCAGAAAGACATTCGAACTATTAGAAGTAGACTGTGGTGTTAATATAGACAGAAATTGACAAAACAAAATGGTGATTGAAAACAAAACTTCGGCACTAGTGCGCACCAGTGCAAGATTTTTACATTCTTTCTTGCACTGGTGCACACCGCTGCGAGAGTTTTACATTCTTTTTGGCATCGATGCGCATCAGTGCCCAGAAAAAAATTATTCGGCACCGGTGCGCACCCGTGTACAACCAGTACTAGAAAAATATTTTTTTGTAGGGTAGTACAAATGTTTCTCAACAGGAAAATTGTCCAAAAATCCGATAGTTCAACACTGTGACTAGCGAAAATTGGGCCGTGTTTTCATAAGAAAGCAGAGAGTCGACTTTTCTGTGTACTTCCTCTGAATTTACAATCTGACTTTCTAATAGAAAGTGAGATTCTACGCAGATTTTCTACCCACATTGTCTTTTCCTTTTCAGATAGACTATGACATGATAAAAGCATCGTCTACTCGACGAAACACAGGTCGTTGATTCCGGCGTCAGGGTCCTGACGGAACATGCCGGAAGTTGTCTCAATTCGGTAAAATCTGGCAGCATCCATGCCAGAAATTTGTTGCTTGGAATCCGTACCGGAAGATGTGGGAAAAGATCCGATCGGATCCTTCCAGTTTCAGGCATCGGGTTTCGTTCGATTTGGCAAAATGTGATCAGTTTTCAGATGTCTTAAGGCTAAAAATAGCCTTAAACTTTTTCTTTCATTTTCTAGTGGTTCTTCTCTCTGTTCATTCAAGACAGTAAGACCTACTAGCTAGGCCTACCGCTGAACAGTGTGAGCGATGACTCATACTGTTAGGAATTTGAGAAGAACTTCTTTTCATTTTCTGTAGTGTCATATTTAAAGTGCTCCTGTCGTGAAATAAAACGGTGAATATATTAAGCACACAGGAAAGAAACAAAAAAATAAAATGCACACCACATGATCCGTCACTTTCCGGTCACCGGAAATTAACAGATCCGATCGGGTGAATTCGACCTCGGAAGCATTAAAATTTGATTGCACTATGTTCTCGAAGTAAGCTCGAGTAAAACATAATGGAATCAATCCAGAAAAAAAACGGTGACTGGAAAATGTGGCACTAGTGCGCGCCAGTGACGAGCTAGTGCAATATGGCATGCCGTGTGCAGTGTCGATCTTTTTCCAATGCTGCACTGAAATTGTTTTTGTAGGGGAGTCGTCCAAGTGTCCAGTCGATTTTTACCAATTTCTTATGAAAGCCTATGTGAATCTTAGAAGAATCTTAGAAGATTCAGCGGAATTCTTGTCACTTTCATAGACGATCTGATATAAGAATTGAGTAAGATTCTTAGCTAGTGTTTCTAAGATGCTTACATGCCTGTCACAAGTTTCGTGTCTAGTTCTTTTATAAGAACCGATGACTAGGGTTTATGCAATTACAAAACAAGGCAGTTATATATAAAACAGTTCTAAATTATGTTGTATCACAGCTCTACAGAACGAACGGAATAGTGTCGGAATAGTACCGGACAA